GGGGGGGGAGGTGGGGAGTTTTGTGCTGGAGAGAGAGAGAATAAAAGGGAGAGGTGCCTTATCAGAGTCCGAAAGCTTGTCCATGGTCACGTATTGTGTTTCAGAGAGAAGCCCCAAAACTTCACCTATGACACTGAAAATCACTCCAGTCCTGGGTTGAGCATCTGGATAGTATACATAAACCTGGGTATCGCGTGGACACGTCTTCGCATGATCAACTGTGACTTCCCACATTCTGGCAGACATTCCAGTGCCTAGGATCTGCAAGTTCCGACACACCATTATATTTCTTTTCCATAGTTCCAACATTAGGGTAATCTTAAAAGGAGTTACGTAGAACCAAATTCAAAATCACAGAGTAAAAAAAATTGAGGAAACAGAAAGTCTGAATATGAAGCCAAGGTAGCTACCTCATTTGTAAAATTGCTTGAAGAGGATCAAATACAGACAAAAAAAGAAGGCATTTAATTTCATATATACGACTGGATGTGTTAGGCTTCTGTGAGGTGGGCATGGTTTTGTGTTTTATGCGCATCTGCCTAGAGAGTCATGTTTCAGATATACATGTGAAAAAATTCCCCAACAATTCCATTGCTGCTCATTCATGCAAATGTAATGATTACATGCGTGGATCTATGTTTTCCTCTTATTTGTGTTGTGCACAGCATGAGAAGGTATTAAAGTGACTACCATATGCACATGAAGAAGCATATGTGCCTTCAACTTATTTGCATTAACACATTATGTTGATATCATCCATGAACTAGTTACTGTCTTGGAGCTATCATCCATGATAACCCCTTGTAAAAACAAATGGTGGGCAAGCCCTGCCTCAAGCCAATGCATTACCCATAATTTTTCCATATTCAACTGTTGAATATAGTTTTGTTCAGGGATTATTCTGATCAAATAATACAGCAATGCTTAAATGCTTGGGTCAAAGTAATTCTGTGTGCACATACAATAGTGTTTTTTTTTTAAAAAATAAAAATCGAGAATTAGTGCACATAACTCTTTCTACCCCATTCAATCAATCCACAGCTATATCATTTCATAAACTTGAAACAGTTGTTTCGGTCAGAAACACCATCAAGTTATATGGTATCAGGGTAATGAAGAATTACATTTCGTAGCCTTTGCGAGTCCATAACAAGAAGTCTTAGAAAATCCTTAACAGTAAAGATCCTCTCACTGTTGAGACGCTTATGGAAGGCACCGTCTTTACCAATCTTTTCCAGGCGCCATACTTCATCTCCAAGGGATGGAGGATGGTGCTTCTTGTACACTGCAGAATATAAAGCAGGAAACACAGTTGATAAGTCAAATACCACCATTTTCACATGCAAAACATGAAGGCACAAACCATGACCTTTCACCATCAGAAAAATAATAGGGAAAGTATGCTTCACACATCCTATGTGCGGCACACAACCTCGTGAGAACTCTCAGGGCATCTCAAACCAGTTCTCAAAGCATACAGTGGGGAAAGCGACAGTAGATGCATATCCTGTGTCACCAAGTAATATATTTATAGATTTTTGTAGTCGCAAGAGAAACAAAACTGGACAAAATTTCACATGATTAAGTAGGCCAGTGGAGCCCTAGGACTTAGTGCAATTGACATGACAAGAGAATGTCAGTGAAAGTGCAAGTGACATGACAAAAGAATGTCAGTGACCTCCAGGAATGAAATCAAGGAAGAATGAATCTAACAAGTATCATAATCACACCAAATGTCGAACCACTCCATTTTCCCAATGTTCTTTTCATTAGGCTTAAGGGCAGAGTTTTTTGTTTCCAATCAAGGTCCTCGAAGTGGGGCTACTGTCATTCAGGATGAAAATAACCATGGCTAAGGAGCTTTTGCAATCCGTGAGGGGCATTGGCTAACTAGATAGCCAAACTCAGATCCTCGTTCGATGACATAAATTAATGCAAACTGGCAGAAGTCTCCTGCATATGAGAGAGAATAAATTCCCAGGCTCTCATAAATGTCATAATCAACCGAACCCAGATGTCAAGGAAGGTCAGAGTAATGTGTTTTTCAAAATGTGGTGCAGAAGATACAGTGGAATATTCAACAATTAGGGTACATCATTGAAGACCAGCTTGAAGCTGTCAAACCATAGAAGTTGAATCGAAGATTTATGTTCAGCCCAGGCGTTTAGGATTATTGAAACGTTCTAGCTACACTTCCATTCATCGACATTAATTTATACCTACATTGATTATTAATAACTACAATAATGAATAAAGGCATGATCCATACATTAATTAATCAGGACTAGAAATATGCTGTAGAACTCATATCTTTTAGTCAATTACAAGAAAAAGGGTAATCATACGCAGGGGTACCCATAAAGGAACAGAAGCAGAAAGTAAATAATCTACAAATGCTTAGTTCTGTAGGATATTCACTTCTTTTTTGTGTAACGTCTCCAGAATAAGTCTGATGACAGTGGTGACCACTATCGTATTTTTAAGAGCAAGAAAATTCATTAACCAGGGGGCACATTCCAAGAGGAAAGAAAATGTTAGGACATATTATGTTGAAATCCTAATCATAATTACGTATTAATGCCATAAATACCAGAAGAAAAGGTTTAACATAGTACCTTTTTTACAATTTAACTAATTCAATGAGCAACTGCTTGATTAAATGTGCATGAAATATCAGAACATACAAGCCAAGATTTCAGGAAAATAATGAATTGATAACAGGAAAGGAACTAACATGTGATTCTCCAACAAGCTTAACACCACAAAAATAATAATGGCCTTCTTCCATACCTAGTCCAGAGCCAAATAATACCACTGCTCAAAGGTCTAAACTTCAAAGTAAGTAAAGACACAAGTTACAGGTTCACATTCTCCAAAACTACTGAAGTCGCTTGTACATTCATTTTCTATATCTGCTTAATCTCTCTTGTTTTTGATATGTAGATCTGTTTCACCGAAATAAGGATGCCATTTTGAAGAGGAAACTAAATTATTTAGCAGTTTTTTGTTTTCCTTCTACCATATATCTGATTGGTGACTAGAGTCCTGGTAAACAGAATGTCAAAGCGCATAATAGGGGCTCTTGAACATCACAAAAGGAAAACCCAATAAATAAATAAAAAATTAATAAATAAAAACACAGTGAATGTGGCCTCCTGACCACCTTCACCAACCCTTTTAAGAGCACCGTATAGACGCCCCCATTCCACAACTACAATCATGAGTGCAAAAACTTCAAACGCATGATCAATTTCATGCAAACTGCATATATTTCATCAATCTTGTTCGATTGTAAATATACATGTTTGAGGTTCTTATTTCCTTACTCTTAGAGTAACATATGTATTATTGCTTAAGGTATTGCACATATTAATTCACAGGACACATTTGTACTTATCAGAAGAACGGAGCATTGAGATGTTATTTTCTCTTATATCTTATATTCATATTGAGTTGGGTAGGCAAAGTGGAGATGTGCAACTGGAATTTTATATGATTGCCACGTACCAATGAGGCTGAAGGCCAAGTTTTATCGGACAGCAATGAGGCCAGCTTTGCTCTATGGGGCGAAATGTTGGACGGACAAAAAACAATATACCCATAGAATGAGTGCGGCGGAGATGAGGATGTTGAGATGGATAAGTGGCAAGACAAGAAGAGATAGAATTCAAAATGAATCTATTCGAGAGAATTTAGGTGTGACACCAATAGGTGATAAAATGCGAGAGAGTAGACTTAAGTGGGCTAACCATGTGTGGCCCGACCAAGTACAACACCTGCTAGGAAGTGCAAGTTAATTCAAGTAGAAAGACTGAAAGGACAAGGGTAGGCCCAAAAGGACAAGGGTAGGCCCAAAAGGACGTGATTAGAAGTAGTCCGAAAAGACATGGGGACTTATGGCCTCATTGAGGATATGGCCTTTAATAGAACAAAATGGAAAACCAGGATTCATGTAGCCGACCCCAATTAATTGGGAAAAGACTAAAATGATGATATTGTGTTCATATTACAGCAATTTCAAGACTTCATAGAATGCAAACATCATCAGTCTAAGAACTTCTGTATGTTCTTCATGTTGATATTTGAATGATAGCAAAGCAACTGCTCTTAGAGGCTTTCTAGCAGCTTGTAATGAAGAAGGATCGAAGATGCTCCGCCATTGCTGGTCCTAAGCTTGAATGACAAAAGGAGGTGGGTTGTGTTAGGTTGGCAGCCAATAGAGAGTATTTGCCATATCCTTGTTATGAATTCTAATCCAACATTATATACTCATGTTAGAGTGTTCCTTGTAGTGACGTGTGGTATGACTCATGGTTTTACTAGGGTTATGACCCTTGATAGAGCGGATGGTAGAAAATAATTCATGTAGCCAACCTCAAGTAGTCGCGATAAGGCTTGGATGATGCATATGATGATGATGCTGAAGGATTGAAGATGTTGAAGCCATATTCTTTAATATAGGCAATTCGGAAACTTGCTAAAATTTGTAAAAGCATGAATGTCCAACTTATGCAGTTGATAATCCATCGAAGCTTAGTCCAAGCCAAAACAAATTCTGAGCTACATAATGACATCTAGAAGGTTGCCAATGATTTAATAGAATATCTTTACTTCCCCAGATGCAATCAGAATGCTCCATTTCTTTGAAGACTGGTTTTTAATATGGACCCTTCAGCATTCACATGCAAGTACTTGGAGGAAAGTTTCTCTCTTTTGAACAAGGATCAAAATTTTGCTCCTTACACCTAAATCTATTATATAAATCTTAGAGAATCGAGGAGTGTTTTGAACAAAAACTATGGTTTAGAAGACTGAGACGTCCATCTAGGAGGAATGTTTTGAACAAAAGCTATGGTTTAGAAGACTGAGACATCCATCTAGGACAAGACTCCACAAAAGGAGTAGATCTTGTGTTTTGTTAGCTTTTGTAGCACTGGTCGGCTGAAAAGATTTTTAATGCCAAGCTTGTAAACTTGTAAACTTGTAAAGCATGTGAAATGCTTCCTGAGCGCAACAACGTTCCAATTCAAAACTTTCTAAATTTTAACATTTTCATGGATATGCATATCCTACTTTGTCAATTAGTTATTTCGTGATATTTGTCGATCTGACTTGGATATAGTGTCAATAAAGTATTTCGTGATAGTTGTCAATCTGACTTGGATATAGCCAGAGGAGATAAAAAAAAAAAAGGTCGATATTTCCTTCAAATATTCCTATGCATGGTTAGAAGACTATTAGAAGAATATTCTTCAAATTCTATCACATATGGCTCATGTTGTATATTAGTCATTTTACTGTTACAAAACTCAAATGTACAGCTACATCACTATGCAATTGTTGAAGGGCCCATTAGCCACAAAATGGAAGCTTGAATTAAGCATTCCATAGACACTTACACCTCCTTGCATCATCTCCTCTCCATTCTCATTATCAAAACAACCTTGGATTGTAATAACATCGAAAAATAATCAAGTTTATATAAATCTGTAGAAAGACTTTCCGTTGAAGCAATTCAAGTGACTGAAAAGAGTCTCCAAGGTGGAATTTCAACTTCAAGAGATTTTAGGATCTGACAGAGTCAGCCGAATGATAATTTATAAATTTATTTGGGGATTTAAGTCATTTAACTGTATTGTGTTTTTTATCCATTTCCTGCAAGTCCATAGAGTAATTGATTGTTTTGTTCTAATGCTTGCGCAAAGAATTTCAACTTGAAGAGGGACTCACTGAACTCCTTTATCTTACAAAACAGGGACTCCAAACTCAAAGTTTTTGTTTGTGTTTGTTTCATTCCGCATTGGAATTAAAACATAATAAGTTAAATGTGATTTATTATAATATGGAGAAACCTGAAAGGGATATAGATGTCATGACCTAGTGATTAAATGACTTTGCATATCCCCAACCATGTCTATTTTGTTGAAACTGATTGTTGGAATTATGTACTTTAAAGGCCTTAAATTCTGACATTTTGATACTTTAGTGGGAGTAAAAGATTGAATTGACTCAAAGATCTTGGCGCACTATGACCAAGAGTCATGGAACCCCGAGTGAGTCATGCGGAGGATTTTATATGCATGGAAGGTACCGAAAGGGTAGAGGGTTACCTCTTAGTTAGGGTCGGTTATTATGTTTGTGCCTCATGACTGAGTGACGGGCTAGGTTGATACGATTTGTGTTTATGTGATATGAGCTATGATAAGATACCCTTGTACAAGAAGGTTAAAGCCAATAGAGAGTACTGGCCTAAATCCGTAACTTTTAGATCTTTCTCGTAGTATG